CTCTCCATCTATAATGATTGAAAGCTTTGCTGGGTATAGTCGTCTGGGCTGGCATCCATGGTCTCTTAGTGTAGGTAGAATACCGATCCAGGACCTTCTGGCTTTCAGAGTTTCAAAGGAAAAGTCAGGTGTGATTCTGATAGGTTTGTCTTTATAGGTTACTTGACCTTTTTCCTTTGCTGCTCTTAATATTTTCTCTTTGTTGTGCATGCTTGGTGTTTTGATTATTATGTGGCAAGGTGACCTTTTTTTTGGCTCAGTCTATTTGGTGTTCTGTAGGCTTCTTGTAGGCATGTCTTTCTTTAGGTTGGGAAAGTTTTCTTCTATGATTTTGTTGAATATGTTTTCTGAGCCTTTGAGTTGGATTTTTTCACCTTCTTCTATACCTATTATTCTTAGGTTTGTTTTTTTCACAGTATCCCATATTTCCTGGATATTTTATGTTAGGGATTTGTTGGACTTCAGATTTTCTCTGGTTGATGAATTTATTTCAACTCCTGAGATTGTCTCTTCCATATCTTGTATTCTGTTGGTTACGCTTACATCTGTAGTTCCTGATGTTTACCCAGCTTCTCTATTCCCAGCATTCCCTCAGATTGTGCTTTCTTTATTGTCTCTATTTCACTTTTTAGGTCTTGAACTGTTTCCTTGAGCGATTTGTTGATATCTTGTATTTTTTGGTTTGTTTTGTGTTCAATTTCTTTAAGGGTTTTTCTTATATCCTCTTTGAGGTCCTCTATCATTTTCCTGAAGATGTTTTTAAGGTCATTCTCTTCTGGTTCATCTGCATGATTATGTTGAGGTCTTACTGGTGTATGGTTCTTAGTCTCCTGTGGTGTCGTATTGTATTTTTTGTTGTTGGATGTGCTTTTACCTTGTCCTCTTTTCATCCTTTCTTCTGGTGGGTGTAGCAAGTGTTTCTTGTTCTCCTGGTGGGTGTGGGACCCCAGTCTCCTTCTGGTAGATGCAAACAGATCCAATACTCTGATGTCGGTCCTCTTCTCATGGATGGAGGCGTCACTGTTACCCTGGTGTCAGCAGCGTTCGGGCATGCTGGGTCCCGCTGGCTGGCAGTTGGAGGCAGAGCTGTCACTGGGCCTCAGGGTGTCGGATCCCGCTGCCGAACTCTGTATGGCACGAAGGTCGTTTGCGTCAGATAACTCTGAACAGTGAAGATGAGCAGGAGCAGGAAACAGCCCCTGGCCTACCTGGGCTGGTGGATGGAAGCCGGGCTGCCTCTGGGTGTTCAGTGTTCAGAACCCGCCACCATCGAACTGGGTCTGTCACGCAGGACGCTTGCCTCAGATGACTCTAAGCAGTGACGAACCTCCCCAATTCTTTTGATTTGACTTATAAAAACAATTGTTCAATCATGGTGTTGATCTTAGTTTACCTAACTTTTTTTGTTTGTTTGTTTCTCAAGAGAGGGTTTCTCTGTGGCTTTGGAGGCTGTCTTGGAACTGTTTGTAGACCAAGCTGGTCTCGGACTCACAGATATTCACCTGCCTCTGCTTCCCAAGTGCTGGGATTAAAGTGTATGCCACCAATGCCTGGTGGTTTACCCAATCTTAAGTATTCTACTAATTACATCTAATGTTTTATCTGTATGTGTATGTGTGAGTTTGAGATATTTTTTCTAGTGAGTATTTTAAAGCATATTTACATATTCTTATCCTTTATTTCAGTTCATGTTATTGAATTAACTGATGAATTTCACATAGCTTTAAACAGAATTTTTTTTAATTTTCATGTTCTCAAAAATCAAATATTTGTAAAAAGGGTATCAGGCTACTACAAATTTGGGTCCAATCAGAAAATAGAAAGGAACACAGAAACTGAGATTAGTGAATTAGGCTATGGATGCATGAAACTCTCCCACAGAATGCATGAAATTGACATAAATACTGTGAGAAAGATGGCTAGATGAATAGCTCCGACTTCTCTAATTTGCGTACTCATTTTATTTCTGATTAGTATTAAGTTAAATACTTCCATGTTGAGTCTGATGTCTTTAAAGATTTGGAAACTGTTTTTATTAGATTAATATGTGTCCAAAAGACTCTCCAGAGATATGATTTGTGAGTCTTATTATAGTATAACAATACTTAATGCATATCCTTAGACATAACAAAATCTAAATAAGCTAAAGAAAGAGACAGGAATGACCTGTGTTTCAGATTCCCTTATAAGAATTAGAGTTTTGCTCTGGGACAAGTGCTGTATCTGCTGCCCTCATAGCCTTGCTTCTCTCTGCTGGTATGTAATGGTGAGAATGTTCTTTGGGCCTTGTGGACAGAACAGTATTCTTTCCCTTCCTGGGATTGCCTGACACAAAAATAATTATAAATCCATGGTTTACTCTATACCCTTAGAAATAAGGTAAGTAACTTCTTTACCAGATGAAGTCACTGGTATTAATATACATGGTATTAATATACATTAAGATACATGGAAAGTCAATATTTTATCGTCTTTGCCTACTATTTGATTGGTGGACAATGCTTCAGAGTTTTTAATCAATGATGATTGTGTCTTTATTATGACTTGGCCATTGTAGCAAGAAGCAGTCATAGAATATATGTATACAAATGAGAATGGCTATTTTCAAAAATTATTGAGACTACCATTGGACTTTCAAATACTAACCACTTTAGTTTTAAATTTTCAACATGTTTACTTCAGTTGATATGCTAATACAGGATACAGTCTTGTGAAAGCTTTGTAGAGCACATGCTGTTCCTTCAGAAATTTTGAAATGATAAAAGGTAGGGTTTTTTTTTATTATTTGAAAAAAGCTATGAGCAACCTCCTTAACCATTTACACGCATCTCCAGAGCCATTTTTATTTAGCTGTTACACATAGGAATGATCATCATGGAATATTTAATTTAATGTCTCCTCCTTCCAACTCCATTCCATTAGTCCCCTTACTTTAAAAATGTGTCCATTTGCCTTGTACATGTTCATCAATCTCTCTCTCTCTCTCTCTCTCTCTCTCTCTCTCTCTCTCTCTCTCTCTCTCTCTCTCTCTCTCTCTCTCTGTGTGTGTGTGTTTATATAAATTCAATATATGAGAGTGGACTCATCCTTCTAAGACATACAACACCTCATCTATGCCTGGATCAAATCCAAAGAGAAAATAATAATACTTTCTTTCTACATATTTACATACAACTCAGTTCTTCATTTGGAATCATAATCCATGTGATTTATGAAAACCACATTAATGAATTTTAGAACAGCAGGTAGTAAGACATACATGTTCAAATATGAAGAAAAGAACAAACACAGAAGACTTAGCACCACACACCTAAGTGCTGACTTCAAATGTCACTGGGAGGCACCTTAGCAGCATCACTGTAACTGGTCTCAGACTCCTTCCTGCCCCTTATCTGCCTTGTGTGTTGAAATGTCCCTGCCCTTCTTTGTACTTAACCCCTTTTTTGGAGCAAAAGTTGAAATGTGTTGTTATCTCTATTTGTTTGGTTCCATATTTCTTTGTAACTTAGTGTCTCTGCTTTTTTGGTTTTTTTTTTTTCAGGTAACAACCATTTTAACATCACTGTCAGCAGTGCTGCATGACAAAAAGGAATTCCCCAATCCAGAGATGTTTGACGCTGGTCACCTTCTAGAAAAGTGACTACTTTATACCCTTCTCAATAGGTAATAGAAATTCATCTCCATTGGCTTCTGTGACATGAAGATCTGTGAGGAATTACACAGTGTCTCCCAAGGGACTGGTAGACATGCATGTTTCCCAGTGTCCATGCACTGTACTTGATGATGAGACTTCTTCCCTGTAAGGATAAAATATTTATGTTTTTGTTTGTTTACACTTTTCATTTAAATAAAGGTAAAGAAAGGTAGCCTGTAGATCATTTGCATTCTTCCTTTATGTACAACACAGAGACCAAAGACATCATCCTAGAGAGTAAAGTCATTTAACTATTGATCATTCCATATTTAAGATAAAAACTTAAAAACATTAAGATTAAAAACTCTACCATTATTTTACTTCATTCTTTTTTGTGTGTGAAGTTTGTCTCCAATTTCATGTTATATTGAAAAACTTTCCAAAGCTATAGAAAAACTCTAATAGATCTCGGGCCCATTCAAGGAAACAGATGAGAAAACATGATGATACAGTTGGACTTATGTTTAGAGACAATATCATATCACTGGGCAAGAGGCTGTTGGGGTGAATTCACCACATTTTTGTTTTCTAATATATTAAACATAAAATTAATCAACATTCTAATTGATTACTCTTTACCTGTCTTCAAGACTATAAGTAACATAGAATAGAAAAATTGCATGTTAATTTAAGATATGGTTTTATTGTTTGATTTTCTATCATGTGTAAAATATTTCTTATCAAAACCACCCCCATTATTTCTCCTACATTCGTAGATCCATTCCCTCTCCCAATTTCATATACTTTTTTAACCCATCAAGTGCACTGTGTGCCATATGTAAGTGCATACAATTAGTGATATCCCTACAAGCATGAGTAACACACCCTAGACCATGTCTACAATGAAAGCTGGCTCTCTGTGGCATAACAGCTATCAGTGGCCAATAGTTCTCAGGTTGGGGTGAGACCATGTAAATACATTCATGGGATTTTGTGGAATTTGGGCTGGAACTTCTCATTTTTATATTGTTAAGGAGATGGCTTAGCATTTAAGATAACTTGCTGCTTTTACAAGGGACCTTCATTCATTGCCCACTACCCACCTTTAGGCAGCTCATAACAACCTGTATCTCCAGATCCAGGGGGTCTAGGATAATCTTTTGATCTTCCTGAACAACTCTCTTTGACATGCTCATTCTTTCATACCTATAGATACTCTATACATAATTATTCAAAAAGGTAACAAAATATTGAAGAAATACATTTTCTTTCAGCTCAGAATGTAAGAAACTTTCTGATCACCATGAGATCATAGAACACTTGTTGTGGCAAGAAACAATGAGGTGATCAGAGGGTTCCCTGCTGCTCCACCAACCAGGATTCATGTCACAAATATTGCAACTTCACATCTGCAGTGTGTGTATACTGAGGCTGTTGACTTGGATGCTTCTTCACTGATTAAGTTTTTTTATAACAAACTCATAAACCTCATTGTTCAGCATCAGAAGTGTTCTGATGACAGGTGTGAGCAACCAACCCTTGTAAGGATTATTTTCTATGATTTATTTTATAGGTATTATGTTACTTTAATATTTCCCACCTTTTTCTGTTTGCTTAACTTATTATCTCACCCATTCATTCATCTAACCACACAACCAACAACTTAGCAGTTATCTAACTCTCTTATGCTAGTTACAAAATAGTGTATCTCACACTCACTTATGTACAAGACATGGTTTCCTTATTTGTCTCTTTTTCCCCACTGGGTGCAGGAAAGGGTCTGGCCTGCATGGAGTTGTTGCTATTCCTGACCACTATTTTTCAGAACATCAAGCTGAAACATCTGGTTCACCCAAAAGACATCAATACAGCCCCAGTGGTCAGGGGATTGCCTTCAGGGCCTCCCATCTTCCAGCTCTGCTTCAATCTTGTCTGAAGAAGACCAGATGCCTGGCTCCTGCTGTGTTATTTTCTGAAATCCCATACAATAATTACAATAACTATATACAACATACAGGTAATAAGTACATCAACAATGTCTATCCCATTAGCATTTAGCAAATTCAGAGAAAATATTCCATTATCTATTCTATCTTGGTGAGTCCAAATTTTGTACCTAATTTACTTTCTGTTCTAATTTGCATTACCAAATTATCTTTTAATGTCTCTCAACCTTTTACACTTGACATATCTTCACTGAGCTTCTTATCTGAGTCTAATAAACAATGAAAACTATGACTATACCATCTAACCTTCAGCTCCCTCAGAGACCTGATAAGAAATAATATTAACTGAGTAAACAGGAATTGTGAGCAAGTGACTTCCAAAAAATGTGAGAAATTTCAAAAACAGTTTGCTGCCTGGACAGTCACCCAAGGTTCTTCTGCAACATTGGAGCATCTGTCTTCAGTCTATAAGCTTAGCACACCTAACAGACATTTCTATGAAGCAGAATGTTCTGAAGGACTGCCCTACCTTGTCTTGGCAAGGTTTGCAGACACTATTTTTGGTGTCATGTGTGTCCAATTTGGGCAGCATACTGTCAGCAGTTGAGGCAATGGTACTTTCTTGCCAAGTGGCTTACCTTTGCCACAAATAAATTAAACTGCATGTGGAGTTTCTTTGGTGCCTATCATCTTCTCTGCAGCTCCTTTGATGCCCATCATCTTCTCTGAAGTAGATTGGTGCTGCCACAAGCAGACATGAAAAGAACCTATGTTATTAAAACATATTAAATGTCATATTCCTTAGATCTATGCAGTGTTTGAAGATGACCTGTATATCTAAAATATGTCTCAGTTTGACCTTGAAGACTTTATTTAATATGACTACACTACAAGTTTGATTGTATTAATTGACTAATTACTAGCATACATTTCTTTACTATCCTATGTAGTTGATAATAATTTCAAGGATTAGAAATTTGCTTTGCAATGTTAAATGAGCTGTAAAGGTACAAAACCTTGAATAATATTAGAAACATACATATAGTATGTTTCACCCAATTAATTTCAAATTTGCATCAAAATTAAATATTTGTATACAATATACAAAATGTCAACCCAATGTAAAATATTTAAAACTAGTAGTTGCTTTTTAGAAATATATTCAATAATCTCCTTTTATCATATCTATCTCTTCCCTTTATTTTTCAGAATAGATTCAATAATCTATTATTTTATTCTATCAAATCTGTATTCCCCCTTGTCATGGCCTGGCATGTCTCAGTCCCAAACCACAGAAGCCATGAGGTCCAGGCTGAGTGAGGGAGCGTGGACTTGGAAATTCCTACCAATCCAAAGGTGATAAAGACACAGGCATGTTGTCATCTTTAGAGAGCTCTCAGTTCCATGCTGCAAAAATGGAGTCTCTCATTTATTCAGCATCTTCCTGGCTGCTTTCTAACCATTCTTCCCTGACCCTGAGACCATTTCTCTTCCATCTCCCTAGGCTCTATCAGCATATCTCTCAACAGTCTCTCCTCCTATAGACCTCTCCTCAGATACCTACTTCTGTCCTCATTCGTCATGTACACCTAGCCCTCTGCCCTGGTGAAGGCCTATTCAAATGCTTAGTTCTGTAGAGATGCAAAACTAGGGGACGTTCTCCACAGAGGCTATGCCATTCAACAGCAAATCAGCTAGCATCTGAAATACAATGCAGAGATCTACAGAGGTTTGGACCCCCAAGAAATTCTCTAATGGAATTGTGCTCAGCTCCCAGCATTCTCCCTCTGTCAAATTAATAAAAAGAAACCTGTGCTTCTGCAACAGGACAGATGACTGTGCCTGTCTTAAGTGGTTCGCTTCAACCTACAGGGGGTGGCATCATGGAACCACACATTCCATCATGCGTGTTCTGTCTTAGGAATCCCTGGAAGCAAGAAAAACCGTACCTGTCTCTGGCTGGAATCAGTCTCTGTAAAAAGAGGGTAAATGGAGAATGGGTCATGGTCCAGCTCCAAATGTTCCTGAATCAGCGGCTGCAAACCTTCTCCTGAAAGAAGGAGAGATATAAAGGTTAAAATGGCCTTTTAAAACCTGTGTAGGAATGTCTCCAGTGCCTCTGTACAGACATGACTTAAGTTTGCTCTCTTAAGCATACTTCTATCCTAAGGCTTGTAAATCACATGTTACATTCTTGTTAGAATGAACTCTGACTTCTTATTTCTAATACCATTTGCATAATATATATAGCAAGGTTACAGGCATTAAAATTTCATTATTAACATGCATTATTGTGAGTTACAATACAATCAAAGGACAATGTTTTCATGATCTGTGGGGTGTGAACAATTTCACAATTCTAAACCTTTTTCTTTTATTCCCTGCCTGGAGCACAATGCCTTTTGAAATTTTCTATTTCTTGCTTAAATCCCAAAGTTTTGTTATCTGTAAAGTTCTGAAATCAGGTTTGTAATATCATACATTTTCTTTGAATGGTAACTGAAAAGTCCTTTGTCCATATCTCATTTAAGCATTGTGAAGGGGCTCCTGCCACTCACTCTGGTTTATACCAGTATCCAACTGTCCTAAATGAGTCCTTTTTCCCAATGGGAAAACTGACAACAGTTGTGTGTGTCTAGTGTGGCAAGAAAGCAAGCAGTGTGTTGTTTGGTTCTTTGTCAGCTCTAGGATAAGCACTCACAGATTCAGAGAGGTGGATGTAGTCTGTCTGTAGAGAAGCTGCAGCTCTGGAAAGCATCGAGAAACTGGAACTGGGTGTCTATCTCCTTTCCTCCTCCGGCCGTAGGTCGGATGTCCTCAAGGTTCAGGAACACTGGTTCAGTGTTTCACTACAGCTGGTTCAGATGATCTCCCAAGGCCTCAGGTCTGATTCCTCTCTGCTCCACGCACCTCACCATTCGCTCCAGCAGCCAGAGTGCCTCGTTCTCCACCACATTCCACCAGTTTTTCTTTCTTCTGTGCATGCTTTTTCTCCGACCCGTTCACCCACAACGACTATCTCTTTGCAGTGTCCATGCCTCTGCCCTGTCCATTACTTCTTTGGTGTCCATTTCTTTGTGGTGTCCATGGCTTCTTCCCCTGTTCTGAGGCCCCACATTGGGTGCCATTTTGTGGTGGCCCGGCATGTCTCAGTCCCAAACCACAGAAGCCACAAGGTCCGGCCTGAGTGGGGGAGCATGGACTTGGAAATTCCTAGCAACCCAACAGCAATAAAGACCAGACACACACTCTAAATTCTTTAAATAAGAACCCTGAATCTAATCTCATTTGTTTACCTTTATCCTGGCAATTATCAATAACAACTCATAAGCAATTCCCTTAAAGAATGACAAACATCCAAAATCTATTGAATGACAAAAAACTACTCACTGCATCTTTTGGAGATGTGGGCATCAAGTTCTTACCTTTACTTCCTGCTGTCTGGGGGCAATGGCATCTTTAGGGGATTATGAAAAGATAAATTGGGTTAACTGTCAAGCTGCATCATTTGTTGTTCAGACTTTGCATCATGTGAAAGTACAGGGCTTGTTTCAAGTCCTGGCTAGAGTAGTCTATGAGGCTGGATCATCTCAGGCAGCTATCTCAAAACTGCTCAGAGCAGTATCTGTGAGGCTAGATCATCTATACTTGCCTCCTCAAAATTTTCCTGCACAATTTGTAGTCCAAAGCTGATCATTAGTTGGAGTTCAGCTTAACGATGTTGTCATAGTCCTGGTAAAATTTTCAGTGTGGGGCCCCATACTCCTTTTGGAGACTTCAAAGGTCACAGTTAGGTGTGGTCATGATTGACTGCAGAAAACTGATAGGAATTCAAACCTGAAATCAATCTTGAATTGAACTGTAGAGAAAAGCAGAAACAATCATTTGGGAAGATTTTGAAATTTATCCTTTTGGAAATATGATATACTAGTAGAACAATTTACTCCTTTTGGGGGGACAATTTTTCTGGATGATTTGTCCTTTTTCTTCAGATGTCTCATTTGTCCAGTGGTCTCCAGATTCCTCATCTGGATACATTTGTTCTCCTGAAATGAGAAACATAAACCCTTCCCCAACCCTAAACTTTAGAGAGGTTCTCTTTTGGCAAGTTATGTCTGATCAAATGAAAAGCATTTATTAGTTTTATAGGTTAGTTTAGTTTAACAGCCATGCTACCTGATAAACTATCATCTCTTCTAATGAAGTGGTGTCTTTTTCAAATAGAATCTTTATCAATTTTGATGATATCCATACTATTTCTTCACCTGTGGAAACAAAAGCAAAACCTTTTTCCCAACATAACACATGTCCTCATTTCCATTTGGAGGTCAAGACATCTTTGAAGTATATGGGCTGACTTAATTCTGAAGTTGTTTTCTATTATACAATGTCTCTCCACAGTTGTTTCTTTCTCATTAGCATTCAGAAAATTCAATTTTAACACAGCACTATGCAATCTAGCAATCTATTTTGGGGTTCTTTACATCACTTTCTGTTGATTTAGCATATCCTTCTGAGTTCTATTTGATAACTACCTGCCCTGTAGGATTGGGTGGTACACCTGTAATATGCTTTATATGATAATAAGCAAAAAACTATTTCATTTTCTTACAGACTTATGCTGGAGCATTGTCTTCTTTATTTTTGCAGATAATAAATAAATAAATATCTTATTTATTATTTTGGCCATAAATTCTAACAAATTTGTAATTACAGAATCAGCCTTTTCTGAACTCAAAGCAGTTGCCCATTGAAAACCTAGATAGGTATCAGTGGTATGGTGTACATAATTTAATTTTCCAAATTCTATAAAATGGAATATCTTTCAGATTTCATTCCTTTGTGTACCCTTTGTGTTACTTCCTGCAGGTAGTGAAGTTTGGTTGTATAAAGAACAAGTAGAATATTTCCTTATAATATCCTTGACTTGTTGCCTAGTGATGGAAAATCTTTTATCAAAACTATTACTATTGAAATAGTATTTTTATGAAATTTTGAGGGCTTTCACATATTCTTATCAATAGTTGATATATTTCATTGTTACCTTATGCTAGAGGGCCTGGCAAGCCTGTATAGGATCAGAATGTGTTTTACTTATGGGATGATTCCTGTTCCTGATTATTTCTTGTAACTGAATACATAATAAAGTCAATTCTGTATCATCTGGTATAAATTCAGCAGTTTCAATATGTGAAACAACTCTTTCTGAATATTGTGAATCAGTAACTATGTTGAGAGGTTCTTTATGATCCATTAACATCATGAGAATAGCATACAATTCTGACTACTGTGCAGAATTATAAGGACATAGATCCACTTTGCTTAAATTATCTGATTTATAAACTTCATTTCCTGATTTATTTGCATCCAATTATTGGATTATTCCTGTACAGTGTGAGGAAGGATCCAGTTAGTTCTCTTTGTAAGTTGAATTCCCTTCCAATAATTGTTAATCTCTCCCAAAAATTACTACAAGCTGTTTGCCAGAATTCATTTTCTACCCACAATTTGAAAATTTCATCATTAGTAATATATACTATAATTTCAACTGGATATATTTCTTCTAATTGCTGAAGTCTCAATTTTCATCTTAGAATCAACTCAGAGATCTTTTCCACATGAGGTTTTAATTTTTTACTCAATTTATGTCATACAAAGATCAATTCTACATTAAATTTCCAGCAGGGAAATGCTTAGAGGGTAATATAACTACAATGTAGTTATGCTTTGGATCCACAGGATCCACATGTGCAATCTGTAATTTCTCTTCCACCATTGCCGATACTCTCAGCTCCAGCTGTTAATTCCCTGGGACTATTTAAGTCCTTGTCACCATCTAAGTTTTTGTTTAAATTAATCAGTTCATCACATTTCATCTCAATAGTGGGGAACATCTGCTAGGAATCTTTGACAATCATTAATAATCTATAATTGATCTCTCCTAATTTGCACCTTTTGGCATCCAAATTTTCTAAACCTATTTTACAGCCAAAACAATCAGTAGAATCTCCTCTTTGTATTCACAGGAGCAATTTTTAATCTTCACCAAGGCAGAATTTTCCTCTACTTCTTCAAACATTCTTTCTAAATTATCTACATTTGAGTCAGATAATAAAATGTCATTCGTGTAATGGTATACTATAGTTTGAAGAAATTGCTTATGTATTATTTCCAATGGCTGTAATACAACATATTGGCACTGGGTAGAGCTATTTGACATTGCCTGTGGGAGAAACTTCCATTGATATTTCTTATTAGGCTGAGAATTGTTATAAGTAGGCATCGTGAATGAAAATTTTTCTTTGTCTTGTAGGAAGTTCTCCCTGCATTCTCCATTACAAGATGGCGCCTGCATCCGGCAGGCACCGAATGTAAACAAGATTATTGCGCAGGCGCTGGGTAAATTTCCATTCCTTGATCTCTGCCTATTCCGTGGCGTCATATGGCC